ATGCTGGGATTACAGGCGCGCGACACCACGCCTGGCAGGAGGAGCACAGGTTTTGAAGCAGGAAATTGGTGTTTCATTCTTACCCCTACTCTTTTCTCCTTGGGAAATTTGGGACAAGTTGCTCTTATGAATAAGTGAGATAAATTAGTAGTGCTTTGTAAACTATCAAATGTATAAAGAGTGCCATTATGACTTATATTTTAGTTTATAATGAACATTAGGGGCTGAGGATTTAGCTCCGTGGCACAGTGGCTGCCTGGCAAGCGAGAGGTCACGAGTTCGATTCCCGGTACCTGAAAAAAACCAAAAAAAAAAAAATAATAATGAACATCAACCCATAAAGCTGGTTAGAATTACATTGCTGAGCATGGATCACAGATGTCCCGGTTTTAGCTGATGGCTCCTCTGGGAAATAGAGGTGTGAATTTTCTCAACTCCTGCTCCTCAGCAGTGTCATGGTGTGTCCCTGTCCTTCCTCAGAACAGTGGCCGTCCAGGTTTCCGGATGGCCACTCTTACACTTGAGCTCAGCATGAGTTACCTTGTGTTCCAGAGTCTTTTATGTTTGGAATGGTTTCCTTGCCATTTGGCGGAGGGTTGGGTTCTCACAAACATTTTCTCTGCGTCTCTGTTTCCCGCGTTTTGTCCTCTACCCAGATCCTTCTCTTCTTGTGCCCTTCGTACATGCAGTTGCTTCTCTTCCCACCCTGTACTTTACCTGACACATATGCTCAAGTCTCTAACAGCTCTCAAACAACTTCTTCGGTTGCTTCTCAGCGTTTTGGTTAAGACCAAGTGTAAAATAACTTGTTCAAGTTTGAGGCCCTTTCTTGACAAACTGTTTTGGGGGAGGGTGGTGAAAGAATGATTGCCTTTCCTTCCTCAATTTCCATTCTTTTCCCACTCCATTAGAATTTACGATTTGTCTTCCTTCTGCACTGTTTCGTGAAAACTGTGGTGTGCGCTTGCCTTAGCTAAATACAGTGGCTTTCTCTTGGAGTTGTGCTCCTGTTTTGTTTCTGTGTGACATAGGTTCCTGGGTATTCATCCTTGTTCCCTGTTCTCCTAATTTCTTCTGCTGCTTTTTCCCCCAGCACATGCTGCTGACGCCCAGGGCTTATCCGCACATCTCTACCTGGTCATATTCTCACTGTGTTATTTTTCTTCCTGTCACTGGCTATAGTGAGTCTTTGTTTCAGAGATAATGGGAAGTAAAACTGAGGCAACAGCACGGGTTTGCAGGCAAAAGCTTGAATTGGGAAGTAAGAGAAAATGGGAAGGAGTTTCAGCTTGCGGAGGAGCAGAGGAGCACTGGTGGGGGCGTAGCTCTGACAGACCAGACTGTCTCCTGACAAAAAGGAGGAGTCAGCTTTAATGAGGTTCCTGGGGATAGGCAGGAGTCTGCTTCATTATTATCTCAGTTCTGGTTTTGCAGCATGGCCCCGGAGAAGCCCTGCTCTTTGAGGAGGTGATCCAGCTTGTGTGAAATGCTGACTCCTCCTTGGGCGGGGGCCATGGCAGTTCTGCAGAGGCTCTGCTGGAATCCAAGGCAACTGGGGAGTTAGGGCGACACTGGAGATTTTTAGGTGTCCATGCCGGGTAAAAGGTAGTGGTTGAACATCCCACAAATGTCTTATCTCCGTGTCCTCAGTCTTGAAAGGGATTAGATCGGTTAGGACTAATAAACCTGTACCAGCAGTCTTTAGACAGACACTCCCCAAATGACCAGTACCCCTATGTGCACAGCGAAGTAGGAGTCTGACCCAAGATTAAAGTAATGAAGGAGACAGGCACAGAATGAAAGCAGACATGCCAGGCTTTGTCCTGGTTTTAGTTACCCATGGGGCATCTGTAGGCCTAAGTGAACAGTTACTGTTTTTTTAGCAGCTTTTAAGTCCCTGATTATATTTTAAGTCCCAAACCATGTTTTTGTTTTGTTTTGTTTTCCTTTTTTTGAGACAGGGTCTCACTATGTAGTTTAGGCTGGTTTCAAACTTGTGCCAATCCTCCAGCCTCAGCCTCCCGAGTGCTGGGATTACAGGTATGCACCACCACTCCCGGCTCAAATCATGTTTTTAATGAGTAACAGTTTAAGGGCCCAGAGTTAGTTTGTCCTCTCTCTTTCTGTGATGATCGCGAGAGTTTACTTTTTTCATCATAGACTTCAGAGGCGAAGTCATCCTGGCTTCAATGCTGCACCTAGTTATTGAGATCCTAAGATTGCTGGAGGGCGTGAGGCCTAGGGGAGAAAAAGGCCATCCTTTCAGTGGAGCCTGTCCTGAGCAAAGTAAGACGTGGGCGTGCACCTGCTCTTTAACCCCCACAGTGGTCTCTGTCTCACATTCACAGCTGCTTGTGTTACTGATTAACAAGTTCATAGGATCCTGTTGTCTGTCTGTCCTGAGATTTTCATCCATTTTCGTAACTGTAGAGGCTAACACCTTGCTCCAGCTTTCTGAACCTGACGCTCCTGTTGCTGGCTGCCTGTGGGCTCTCTCACTGCAGGTATTTCAGATTCACTTACCTCTAAAGCGTTTCTCCTCTCCAGTCTGTTCATCTTCCTGTCATTGCGGTCAGCACCTGCCTAGTCCCTGATAGCTAGAAGCACCCAGAGTTGCCCTTGACTCCTTCCTGACAGTCACGTGCAATTTGTAACCAAGCCCTGTCCGGTCAACTTCTGAAATAATGTTCTTTGTACTTCTCTTTTCATTGGCACTCATATTTCTTAAAAAAAATACATAATGTGTGATTGTGTCACTTCCTCTAACCGTCACAGTCTTTATGACTTTCTGTGCCCTACAGGATAAACTCTAAAGTCCTTGGCACGGTGTAGTTTTTACAACCTGTTCCTAAAACTAACTTGCAAACATTCTAAAGGGCAGAGTGTAGATCTTAACAATTTCAGCGTTGCAGCAGCAAGGTATCTGGGGTGTCACAGAATTTCATGACACCCCAAGTGATTGCTTGTGGGGTGTGAAAATGAAGTAAAAGTGAAACCTTAGCCACCCTGAACCTGAAGAGGCCCCCTGTTGTCTTACAAACAGCAGCTAAGGAGACGGTTACGGACTTGGAGGGGAGATGATTAAGTATGATATGTGCATGTGCACACACGCCGGAGTGAAACCCATTGACTTGTGTAACCAGTATACAGCAGTAAAAAGTGTAGAGAGGGGGCCGGG